CAAGCTAGTCTTAAAGACAAATCTTCTTCGTCAGATCTGAAGTAACTGTATCTTTCACGAGATAGTAAGGCAAAATCTGCTTATAACTTTTACGAATTCCTCTTGACATAAAAGTAACGGCATGATTAGCTTGTCACTATATCCCAAGTCTTTAAAACCATAAATCTTGTCGTGATTACTTGATTAATTATTTTTCCATTCATTAAGGCACTACATGATTCCCGAAGTACAGTTTGTTGTGTGAAGGAATTTTTACCTGACATGTAGTATTAAAGAATTAAAAAAGTTGAGATGCTTATCGCCATCAGTGATATCCTATTTTTCTAGCAATGATATCTTTTTCTTTTCTAATTTCAAAAGTGCTTTAACCAAGTCATTTCTATGTTGCTTCGAGTCCCTTCGGGAACGCGTTACGGCGACATACAATTTTCAGGTATTTTTATATGGCAAAGTACTTTGAAAATGATGTAATTTTTGTAAGATTTGTCGCTTTTTGTGCGGCTGCTCCAAAAACGGCGAGTGTGACGAGTGTGAATCAAAGACTTAGTTTCTTCGACTTATTTTTGTCACAGAGTACTTGTTTATGGCATTTCAGATTCCGCTTCTCAATCCCCAGTTTCTGTCAGAACTAAAGACGCTTGGATATTTTCTTTCGCCTTTTTTTGGTGTGATTATTGCCAGGAATATGAAAAACCCAACCAGAACTGTTGTCCTAACACATTGGTTAGTTGTTATGCAATCTTCGACTAGAATGTTGCATGTGTACTTATGGATCACAACAGTTTGGTCATGAGGTGCGAAGTAAAACATCTACACAATTGAGATCCAATAACAAACCGTAAAAAAACCTATAAAAAAGTCATGATCTATTAGTTAGGTTGGAGAATACGAATTAGTTCTTTCCTTCAAGGATACTCAAACAAACAACCAACAGTGCACTCAAGAAGAAGAAAAAGAATTGTTAAATTTCATATAGACTGTTATTGTTATTACAAAAAGAAGTTGAAGCAGCAGCAAATTCTCACAAATCTATAGATCCATCACTTTCAGCACCTGATTTTTCAACTTGAAAAATGCAGCTCGGTGAAGAATCACAAGGTAACTGTTGTCTATTCAGACAATACTCTTCTAAAAGCTACGCGAAGTTACCTAGTGCCTTACAAGAATTGCCTTCATAATTCTTCATTATTGTCAATGGAAAACTGAAATTGTTGATTATTACAGTTTTTAATGCTGCAAATAAGCAGATGGGGTTCGTGTTGGAAATCCCACGTCTAATCTCGCAAAACAGGTTATCCACCGGATCTTACTATCAACTTCTGAAATGCCATTACTGTTTTTAGCCATGTGTACAACAGGTTTGTACGCATAAAACACTCTTACATGAAAACTGTTTATTGTCTAAAAACGAAAATACCCCATTTGAAGATGAGTAATGCAACAAATATAATTTACGAAACTTGAACTGTAATATGAACATAAAAAAACTAACAAAATGGGCCATTTAACAACATATTTGGTGTTGATATTCTACAACAAAAACAAATACTTTCTCGTATAAGGAAACGTACAATAATTCACATTTATCACTTTTCACGAAACAATGTAGCTGCTCTGTGACTTTGCATACTTATTACAGATTGTAGAACATTTTTTTCATTGTGTATTGTCATGTAACACCTACGTCGTTTTTTCCCTTTATCAACTGCATCAGGATCGAGAACTCTGGGCTGAGAAGTAGACGGCTTACTTTATTCGTCGTTGGTAATTTTGGATTCTTTGCATGGCTGAACGAAGCTCCCTAGGAAGTCTTGGATCTGATAAACGTCCTCTCATACGAAGTTAAATTAGAGTTTGCCTCAGGGGAACAATAAAATTTCGTCGCCTAATAGAACTTTCAGTCCCAGACTGAAAAAAAAAGGAATTTACAGAAGCTGGTTGGATACCAAATAGCACAAGGCAATCTTCTCGTTCTCTAACCAGTATTGTAATTTACACACTTCCGATCTAATGCATTACCCCCCGCCTTCATAGTGTTATAAAAATAATATAGAATCTTATCAGGTTTCTTTGATTCCTCTACTATTTTGTTATCATGCTGCATAGATTGCTATACGAGAACATGTGTATTTGGTTTTGGAAGATACTACACTAAGGCTGTAGTGCTAGTGAACGTAAACTTAGAAGTACCTGGCTGTGTTTCCTTCTTATTTGGAACTACATGTTGGGGTACTTGTTACTTATTTTTACGCTTCCTGCCGACGTTGGTCAGTTGGTTGATGCGCAATTCTACATGTAATTCTACTGGTGTGATATTTCTGTTCGTATAGACGAAAGCATTGAGCAGGTAGTGGTGAGTCTTTGCATCATCAGTCCATACTTATTCGGTTTAGTTTTCTTGTAGGCACAGGAAGGACATCGGCCCACGAGCATCTCGTATTTTGTAGGGGACTCACCCGAAAAATAAAAATTTCGACAGTTCTCTATGAGTGTCTCGAAAATTTCACGTATTTGGAGAAATTTATCTGCATTTCTCGAGTCACAGGGTTATTATTTTCCAAATTGGTTGCCACGGACTTTAGTTCAGGTAAATGCGTAATAATATTGTCGTCTGGATCGACCAGTTGCAGGCGCTCGTTTTGACCAATTGTACATGTTTTTTCCATAAGCATAGCGAGGTCGTCCATAGGAAGTTGTTCAGGTTGATCGCTAACAGCGTCGTCCTCGGCGTAGTCTATGGTGTATTGTTCATCCGTCAACAACGAAAAAATCCATTGTGAAGGAAGTTCAAATCGTACACGCAGCTGACATCCTCGGATCAAATTTGACCGCAAAGTCAACAAACCAACACTTGTGATGTTTAAATTAAACTGTGGTTTGAGGTATACGTGCTTATACCGTATGAGAAGTCACGGGAGCCCCACCACATAACTGAGAAAGCTCGAATCATCCGACGATACCATTAAAGGATTAATTTCTATATTCTTAAACGAATCTATAAAATCAAAGTGGCTGGGTTTCAATTTACATAGCTCTTTGTATGGTCTTGTTTGCTGATCAACATTATATGCTTTCTAGACATGTTCAAGCTGTGCAGCTTCTTCACTTTCATATTAATGTCAATAAGAGCATTTCATCCATTTTTGAATAAATGTGGTTCATCACAAATTGTAGAAATACTCTGAGCATTGACTATAAAATGGAATGGACTTGATCCGTGAGTATTCTCCGAGCAAATCGTCTCAAGTGCGTTTTTGATCGTTGCGCCCCGATTACAAATAGTGCCAACGACGCACAAACCAAGTCGCTGCAAGTTTGTGATCACATGAACAATAATCGTTTTCAGATCTGGGATTCTTTTATCTTTTACTAGATAATAAGCCACAACCTGCTTATAATTTTTACGAATCCCTCTTATCATGGAAGTAAGGGCATGATTTCTGATAAATCACTTTTACAGAGCTCTAGTTGATTTTTGTTACCTCAGAATTCAAGATTTATTAGCTGAAAATTGTACACTGTGAGCGGTTACCAAGACTAGATTCACAATCTTAATGTCCTAGGTGCTATCGTGGTGCGTGGGATCAGCCCTAAACTTTGTCCAAACCCTGCAATATCGTAAACCACTAAACAAGGGTAGACATATTTCTAGTTTAACTGCCTGAAGATTTTCTCTATGGTTTATACGAACCCTCCATCTATTATCTCATTTTTGTACATGTTCTGGGAGAACTCAACTTGCTCCCTATAAAATGCAACGTCTTCCTGCACAGCTGGTTCTGGTTAAGTGCCAGCCTGCTTCGGGTTTGTAATTAGTTGTTGCAATTACCGATTTCGTCGTCATTTTTCATAATCCAGATTTCGTTTTGGCATTCCAGTTCAGCCATTTGATCCTGAAGCTCTTTATAGTAGAATCATTATGGCATCGTATATCTGAGATTTTAAATGAGTGGTTGACCTCACGTTGGTTACTCTCGTCCATCAGACTCTTTACGTCCTTTCTCAGTTTAGATTCAAGTTCTTTAGGAGCCAATTTCATCTTGCAGTTCAGCAATGTGTGACATCGTTACATCAGTTTGTGTAGCAGCACTTAAAGAAACTTGCATATCTTCGTACTCAGCGTCAAGCATAGCTTTAAGTCTGCAACCTTCTTTTTTGACTCATATTTTGAGCTTCAAGAGATAGTTTAGGGCTCTCTGATCTTCCTAGGTTCTTCAGTGTAGTAAGCAGCATCTCTATTTCTGACTCGTATGTTTTTAGTCTTTTTATAATGTTTTTCCAGAAAAATCGAGTCTGTATTGCAAGTCGATGAAATTCTTGCGCTTTTGTGAGAATTTTTTTGAACCCTTTCTATTTCTCATTGTACGCATCCGTTACTTGGCGGAGTTCCTGACTGTAACGATCGATTTTAGAATTGGCTTCTGTGAGCTGTTCTTCAGGTCCAAAATCTCCAGCTGATATCTAGTTTAGTGAATTCTCTGAGCTCATTGAAAGATTCTTCCAGTTCTTGAGTTGTCTTTTAAGTACACTTGCAGGCACGTCTTCAGTTATCACAGATTCTGCTTCGGCTAGTGCCTCCTCATATGTCTCTTCTTGAATAGGCCTCATTTCACGTCGGATGATTCTTCTTCGGGTGGATAATTTTTCAATGGCATATACCGTAGGGATGCTTTTTTAGGTGATACGTTGCCATAGTCTCCAAAAGTATGACGTCTTAATGTTTTTTTCGGTGTTGATGCGAGGCTCCCATTTGAAAGCGCCCGACAATAGATACTTTCCGTTTTTAGTCTTTTCTATCTCGAGCAGATACTCTTGTTTGCTTTTATCCATCTCTTTAGCTTAATTGCCTGCTTTTGAGCCGAGTTTCGAGATCGCGAGTCAAGTTTCTGATATCCTTGAAGTGTCTCTTCTGTAGCTGACAAGATGTTTGCTTTCGGTTTATTTTGACAGTTTTAGTGCTTTGGGCGAATTCTGTGTAGATCTAGTCTCCTCCTCTGCAGCTAAAGTAACATTCCGATAATCAATGATTTGGCATTACCGCCAAGAGCCTGTGAGAGCAGTCTAGTCAATTTCGAATCGCGATAACTGATAAACTCCTTCCCCTCGCTTAGTTGCCTTATCACATTTCCTAATACTGACAAAGATTTGTTTATGTTAGCCCCCTCTTTAAGACGCTCACCAGCAGCTTTCGTCAGAGAAACTCTCTCAGAACCAGCTAAGTCCATTAAGTTAAGGTAGCTTATATGTACAGGTCCATCTTTCTGATTGGCATCTTTCGACTCCAGAATAATCCGGAAAATCGTGTGTGATCGAGATGACCTCTCATTCATGCGAGTAGCTGCAACTCGTCTGATCTTATTGCCCTGCATCATGTTCTCCATAACTTTATCAACATTGTCTACGACAGCTTCCCTTGCATCAAGCAGCACATTTCCTTTGATATCTTCTCTTATAGTTAAACCCTGATTGCTCTTATCCAGGAGGTCATTGATCTTTTCATTGTAGATTTCAATATAACTGCATCTAATCAAGTACCTCTTATCAACCTGGTCTGCCACATGCTGGAATAACTGATTGGATACTAATTGGAAAAGCCCAGGATCTGTTTTATTGCCCAAAATGGTGTGTGTTTTGCCAGAAGATGTTTGGCCATATGCAAATATTGTGGCATTGAAACCTTCCATGAAGGAATCGACTAAAGGTTTTACTACAGATCCATATACATCTGAATTTGTACATTCCTGCTTAAATACATGGTCGAATATATAAACCTCTCCATGGCGACTACTTTCATCGGCTTCCCATATGCAGTTTACTCTTACGTTCCAAAGACGCTCTAGACCATCGGCTACTTCGCGGTGGATCATTGGTCTGATCTTTGTGGCTACTTTAATATTGTCGGAAGTCATTTTGGAAGCTTGAACTGAAATTTAATTAGAACTAGGGCTATTTCACGGGTTATAAAGAGGGTCACTTTTCATAATCCAGATTTCGTTTTGGCATTCCAGTTCAGCCATTTGATCCTGAAGCTCTTTTATAGTAGAATCATTATGGCATCGTATATCTGAGATTTTAAATGAGTGGTTGACCTCACGTTGGTTACTCTCGTCCATCAGACTCTTTACGTCATTTCTCAGTTTAGATTCAAGTTCTTTTAGGAAGCCAATTTCATCTTGCAGTTCAGCAATGTGTGACATCGTTACATCAGTTTGTGTAGCAGCACTTAAAGAATCTTGCATATCTTCGTACTCAGCGTCAAGCATAGCTTCTAAGTCTGCAACCTTCTTTTTTGACTCAATATTTTGAGCTTCAAGAGATGGTTTAGGGCTCTCTGATCTTCCTAGGTTCTTCAGTTGAGTACGCAGCATCTCTATTTCTGACTCGTATGTTTTTAGTCTTTTTATTATTTTTTTTCCAGAAAATCGAGTCTGTATTGCAAGTCGATGAAATTCTTGCGCTTTTTGAGAATTTTTTTGAACTCTTTCTATTTCTTCGTTGTACGCATCCGTTACTTGGCGGAGTTCCTGACTGTAACGATCGATTTTAGAATTGGCTTCTGTGAGCTGTTTCTTCAGGTCCAAAATCTCCAGCTGATTATCTAGTTTAGTGAATTCTCTAAGCTCATTGAAAGATTCTTCCAGTTCTTTGCGTTGTCTTTTAAGTACACTTGCACGTCTTCAGCTATCACAGATTCTGCTTCGGCTAGTGCCTCCTCATATGTCTCTTCTTGAATAGGCCTCATTTCACGTCCGGATGATTCTTCTTTGGGTGGATAATTTTTCAATGGCATATACCCTAGGGATGCTTTTTTAGGTGATACGTTGCCATAGTGTCCAAAAGTATGACGTCTTAATGTTTTTTTCGGTGTTGATGCCGAGGCTCCCATTTGAAAGCGCCCGACAATAGATACTTCCGTTTTTAGTCTTTCTATCTCGAGCAGATACTCTTGTTTGCTTTTATCCATCTCTTTTAGCTTAATTGCCTGCTTTTTGAGCCGAGTTTCGAGATCGCGAGTCAAGTTCTGATATCCTTGAAGTGTCTCTTCTGTAGCTGACAAGATGTTTACTTTCGTTTTATTTTTGACAGTTTTAGTGCTTTGGGCGAATTCTGGTGTAGATCTAGTCTCCTCCTCTGCAGCTAAAGTAACATTCCCGATAATCAATGATTTGGCATTACCGCCAAGAGCCTGTGAGAGCAGTCTAGTCAATTTCGAATCGCGATAACTGATAAACTCCTTCCCCTCGCTTAGTTGCCTTATCACATTTCCTAATACTGACAAAGATTTGTTTATGTTAGCCCCCTCTTTAAGACGCTCACCAGCAGCTTTCGTCAGAGAAACTCTCTCAGAACCAGCTAAGTCCATTAAGTTAAGGTAGCTTATATGTACAGGTCCATCTTTCTGATTGGCATCTTTCGACTCCAGAATAATCCGGAAAATCGTGTGTGATCGAGATGACCTCTCATTCATGCGAGTAGCTGCAACTCGTCTGATCTTATTGCCCTGCATCATGTTCTCCATAACTTTATCAACATTGTCTACGACAGCTTCCCTTGCATCAAGCAGCACATTTCCTTTGATATCTTCTCATAGTTAAACCCTGATTGCTCTTATCCAGGAGGTCATTGATCTTTTCATTGTAGATTTCAATATAACTGCATCTAATCAAGTACCTCTTATCAACCTGGTCTGCCACATGCTGGAATAACTGATTGGATACTAATTGGAAAAGCCCAGGATCTGTTTTATTGCCCAAAATGGTGTGTGTTTTGCCAGAAGATGTTTGGCCATATGCAAATATTGTGGCATTGAAACCTTCCATGAAGGAATCGACTAAAGGTTTTACTACAGATCCATATACATCTGAATTTGTACATTCCTGATTAAATACATGGTCGAATATATAAACCTCTCCATGGCGACTACTTTCATCGGCTTCCCATATGCAGTTTACTCTTACGTTCCAAAGACGCTCTAGACCATCGGCTACTTCGCGGTGGATCATTGGTCTGATCTTTGTGGCTACTTTAATATTGTTGGAAGTCATTTTGGAAGCTTGAACTGAAATTTAATTAGAACTAGGGCTATTTCACGGGTTATAAAGAGGGGCAGATGTATCAGGTTGATACATTCTTTTTTTCCTCCTTTCCAGTATAGAAGATTTTTTTCTCTTGTAGGCTATGAATGCGGTCCGATAGTTTAGTAGAGCTACATTTACAGGGTGACTCAAAATCAAAGAAGAAACAGAATTGTTAAATTTCATATAGACTGTTATTGTTATTACAAAAAGAAGTTGAAGCAGCAGCAAATTCTCACAAATCTATAGATCCATCACTTTCAGCACCCGATTTTTCAACTTGAAAAATGCAGCTCGGTGAAGAATCACAAGGTAACTGTTGTCTATTCAGACAATACTCTTCTAAAAGCAACGCGAAGTTACCTAGTGCCTTACATGAATCGCCTTCATAATTCTTCATTATTGTCAATGGAAAACTGAAATTGTTGATTATTACAGTTTTTAATGCTTCAAATAAACAGATGGTGTTCGTGTTGGAAATCCCACGTCTAATCTCGCAAAACAGGTTATCCACCGGATCTTACTATCAACATCTGAAATGCCATTACTGTTTTTAGCCATGTGTACAACAGGTTTGTACGCATAAGACACTCTTACATGAAAACTGTTTTTGTCTAAAAACGAAAATACCCCAGAAGATGAGTAA